TGCAGACTTATTGAGTTAGGGTGGGTAATGAAGAAAAAAAGAAGAGAAAACATGTATGCTAAATATAACAGAAATGCAAGCCTAATCAGTCAAATAGGTTGGCTTTAGGAGTAATAGCTCTTGAGCTATTATCTTCATTATTATTAGCAATATAGTTTAAATGATCTTAAACATAAATGTACCCTCAATTTGTATTAAGCATTTAGGCACTCTCTACTATGTACGAAGAAAGACAAAAGAAGAGGGTATGTGCAAGAAATGCATTCTATAATCTTCACAATAATTAAATCCCTGGGAGATAAATTCAGAAGTGTAAACAGAGAGGGAAAGCCATACAAAAATAAACAATAAAAAAACATATGGAATTGTGTGATATCCCATATGGGACTGGCCATCTATCCTAAACAGTTTAGTCCATTGGGATGCAATGCACTGTAGCACCACAATGAAGCAGCCCCAGCCTGTATGACGCTTCAATATATTGTCCAAGTCATCATTGTCTAAATGTCCTGGACCAGAGGCAATATAATGAGAACGAAGTCCAATGTTCAGCAATAATAATAATAATAATAATAATAATAATAATAATAATAATAATAATAATAATAAGTGTTCCTTTTACCCAATTGAGGGGGGTCCTCATTGTCTTATGCTGAGCCAGTCAATTTGGGGTTAGCCTAGATCTGTCGGCTCGTCCCTTCGTGTGTTGGGCTTGAGTTGCTTCTTGAAGAATTCTTGAGCCTCCTTGGCAGTGGAAAACATGTGTTGTATTCTGGAAGGTTAAGATGAGTTTTGCCGGGTGGATGAAGCCGCATCTCAGGTTTAGCTTGCGTAGCTGTAATCTCACTTCGTTGTATGTCACCCTCTGTTTCGGCAGTTCGGCACTCAGATCTGGGTAGATGCTGATCCTCTTCTCCGCAAAGGTCAGAGCCCCCGATTCCATTGCGAGGCGAACAATTTGCCTTTTGACTTCAAAACCGTGGATTCGTACAGTCATACACTGAGATCCGTTCCAAAGAGGACCCGTGCGCCATGCTTCTCCTGACAAAACAGTTCATAGAAAAGATTGCTCATGAAGGAAGTTGGGTTGCCCGCTTCCACACCAGTTTCAAATCCTGTGACCCACACATTGAATTTACGGGAATGATTTTCGAGTGAATGTGTTTTCTTTTTTAGGAGATTGATTTCCCCTTAGCTTAGTTTGCGCTGTCGCCCCTCTGTCACATTGGCTGCAGTTTCCAAACTTTCCACTTTAGTTGAGTAAGTATCCACATTAGAAGTGAGTAGTACAAGAGATGCATTTATTGGTTTTAATTGCAAGTCGAGGGAAGAGGTCATTTCCTCACAAACAATCTCTACGGGTGTTGAGATCTGCCATGTTCTTACAGGTGAATTGTGAATGGACAGAATATGCCAGTAGCTGGAGGGAAATATACCTCTTTCCTCTCGCTCTCTACTCCCCCTTCCTTATCTCACCTCGTCTCTCTTCTCAGAGCCCTGGAAGTGTTTGGCGACATGTTCAGGCAGCATGTTGGTGACCAGTGCTTCATTCCAGAGCCTCATCTCAAACACCCTCACCTTCTGGTCATGCACCTCAATCTTCCACAAGAACAGCTTCTGTGACTGCCTCTCCACCTAGGTGTACAGTGGCTTGCGAAAGTATTCACCCCCTTGGCATTTTTCCTATTTTGTTGCCTTACAACCTGGAATTTAAAAGGATTTTTGATTTACACAACATGCCTACCACTTTGAAGATGCAAAATAGTTTTTATTGTGAAACAAACAAGAAATAAGACAACTTGAGCGTGCATAACTATTCACCCCCCCCCCAAAGTCAATACTTTGTAGAGCCACCTTTGCAGCAATTACAGCTGCAAGTCTCTTGGGGTATGTTTCTATAAGCTTGGCACATCTAGCCACTGGGATTTTTGGCAAAAAAAACCATTCTTCAAGGCAAAACTGCTCCAGCTCCATCAAGTTCGATGGGTTCCGCTGGTGTACAGCAATCTTTAAGTCATACCACAGATTCTCAATTGGATTGAGGTCTGGGCTTTGAATAGGCCATTCCAAGACGTTTAAATGTTTCCCCTTAAACCACTCAAGTGTTGCTTTAGCAGTATGCTTAGGGTCATTGTCCTGCTGGAAGGTGAACCTCCGTCCCAGTCTCAAATCTCTGGAAGATTGTAACAGGTTTCCCTCAAGAATTTCCCTGTATTTAGCGCCATCCATCATTCCTTCAATTCTGACCAGTTTCCCAGTCCCTGCCAATGAAAAACATCCCCACAGCATGATGCTGCCACCACCATGCCTAACTGTGGGGATGGTGTTCTCGGGGTGATGAGAGGTGTTGGGTTTGTGCCAGGCATAGCGTTTTCCTTGATGGCCAAAAAGCTCAATTTTAGTCTCATCTGACCAGAGTACCTTCTTCCATATGTTTGGGGAGTCTCCCACATGCCTTTTGGCAAACACCAAACGTATTTGCTTCTTTTTTTCTTGAAGCAATGGCTTTTTTCTGGCCACTCTTCCGTAAAGCACAGCTCTGTGGAGTGTACGGCTTAAAGTGGTCCTATGGACAGATACTCCAATCTACGCTGTGGAGCTTTGCAGCACCTTTAGGGTTATCTTTGGTCTCTTTGTTGCCTCTCTGATTAATGCCCTCCTTGCCTGGTCTGTGAGTTTTGGTGGGCGGCCCTCTCTTGGCAGGTTTGTTGTGGTGCCACATTCTTTCAATTTTTTATAATGGATTTAATGGTGCTCCGTAGGATGTTCAAAGTTTCTGATATTTTTTTAAATAACCCAACCCTGATCTGTACTTCTCCACAACTTTGTCCCTGACCTGTTTGGAGAGCTCCTTGGTCATCATGGTGCCGCTTGCTTGGTGGTGCACCTTGCTTAGTGGTGTTGCAGACTCTGGGGCCTTTCAGAACAGGTGTATATATACTGAGATCATGTGACAGATCATGTGACACTTAGATTGCACACAGGTGGACTTTATTTAACTAATTATGTGACTTCTGAAGGTAATTGGTTGCACCAGATCTTATTTAGGGGCTTCATAGCAAAGGGGGTGAATACATATGCACGCTCCACTTTTCCGTTATTCATTTTGTAGAAATTTTTTAAAGAAGTTATTTTTTTCATTCCTCTTCACCAATTTGGACTATTTTGTGTATGTCCATTACATGAAATCCAAATAAAAATCCATTTAAATTACAGGTTGTAATGCAACAAAATAGGAAAAACGGCAAGGGGAATGAATACTTTTGCAAGGCACTGTATGTGTGTGTGTGTGAGAGAGAGAGAGAGAGAGGTGAGGAAGAGGAGGGTGGGGTGAAAGAGAGAGAGAAGTGAGGAAGAGGAGGGTGGGGTGGGGTGAAAGAGTGAGTGTTTAAATCAAGCTCATTCAGACGATTGTTGTCAGGGGAATAAGTAAGAAGATCAAGTCTTTCTCAGTTTGTATTATTAGAGGCTGATGCTCATTGAGGTCTGACTCAATCTGAATCTGAGGTGTGATTGTGAGGATGGTCAGGAGGAAGTGACTCACATGTATGGCAAAGTAGTAGAAGCTTATCATCATGATAATGATCATCACTGTCATCAGGTACTCGGAAAAGACTATAGACGTCCTGAGGACAGAGAGAAGAGGGGGGAGAGAGAGAGGGAACATATTGAGTATCCACGGCTTTATACTTTACCTGCCAATTTAACTACCATGTAAATATATGTTTTTATTATATACACTTTAGCACCACTTGAGAGGTTACCTGCACCAGTCGCCACGAGCGACAGCACCGCCATGTAGCTGTAGTGTTTGTGGTTCTCGGCGCAATCTATCCTCTCTTTCCCCTTCTCCTCCCCTCTTACGTCTCTTCATTCTCTCTCTCCAGCAGCTCCAGGTTCAGTAGTCTGTTCAATTCCTGTTCACTATCCCTGGTGTTTACCTTCTTGTTTATCTGATTGTTATAAATAGGCTCACAGTGAAATTCACACAATTAGTCAAATCTAAAGGAAATCTGAAATGGTAAAATAAAAAAATCAGGGTCACAGTGTTTCTTGGTAGTCTTCAACAAATCTACCTTGAAACAAAAGTATACACCTCACACACATGGTTATAGGCTTAATAATGTTGAAATGTATTACATTTTGAGTTTGCATCCCAATATTACACCTTATATACTGTACATCACAGAAGACTGAAATATGACAAAACCATTTGACATAGAAACACCAGATTTTCGGCGGGTTTTTTGAAATAATGTTTATTAATTATAAAATTATGAAAAATATGAATAACATTCCACCCATGAGGCAACTAGGTCATTTGACTGCAGGAAAGGGCTACGAGTTAGGCGTACCTGTGTGTCTTCCTGTTTGCACTCTATGGGCGTGGCCCGGACTGAGCTGACGCTCCAATTGGTCTCTGTGGTGTTAATCAACTGGGGAGAGTTTCCATTCTGAAAAATGAGGGGGGAGACAGAGAGAGAGGAATATAAAACATTTAATTGACAGAACCAGGCCAGACAGAAAGAGCTCATCTCTCACCACCCCGTTGACCTTGGTGGTTTCCATGGGGACCAGCAACAGGTAGGTGTCTATGCCTTTCTCCAGCAGGTACTCACACCTCTCCCCTCCGTTTCCCAGCTCTAGGTCAAACTCTCCATGGTCCTCTTGGACATGTGGACACGCCTGGAGAACACGTACACGTACACGCACACGCAGGCAGGCAGACAGACAGACAGACAGACAGGCAGGCAGGCAGGCAGGCAGGCAGGCAGGCAGGCAGGCAGGCAGGCAGGCAGGCAGGCAGGCAGGCAGGCAGGCAGGCAGGCAGGCAGGCAGGCAGGCAGGCAGGCAGGCAGGCAGGCAGGCAGGCAGGCAGGCAGGCAGGCAGGCAGGCAGGCAGGCAGGCAGGCAGACAAGGCACACACACACGCGCGGCACCATAAGTGACACTCTAGTGACCTCTCCATGGGCCAATGGCCTCTCTTACTATACATCTCTTACCCAGGTATTCCTCCTGACTCCACAGTGACATCATTGGACCAGACACCAAACTGCCACCTCCTCTGTCCCAGCAGCCGTCCCAGCACAGTGCCTGTGTGCACCCACACACATGTCCACCTCCCTCTTGGTCTTCTCACACACATACCTAAGGGTGGAGGGGAAAGTGATCAATTCCATTGAGTTTTTCTATATCCAATCCTTTTCCAAATTCTACACCCCTCATAATCACTCTTTCACCCTCCTCCCCCAACTATCCCACCCTTTTTCCTCTCCTTCCTTCCTCTTTTTCCTCCCTCTCGTCCTTCCCCTCACTTACGAGATGGCCTCCACCAAGGCCCATCATGATGGAGCAAGCTGTGTGGTCGTCACAGTAACCAGGCAGGCCACAGATACAATAGTAACAGTCTCCCAGGATCTTGATAAGCAACTGGTGGTGTTGCTGTATGGAGGGAGGGAGGGAGGGAGGGAGGAGAGAGGAGAGAAACAATGACAGACATTATATGAATGTGAGTATGTTATGAGCTGTGTGTGTTTGTGAGAGAAATAAACAGTGTATTTTAAAAACAGCACACGGTAGTATCCTTGAGGGAGAGAGAGGTGAGTCGGATGAGTGTGAATGTCTCATAACATGACATACCTCCCGAGTGGCGCAGTGGTCTAAGGCACTGCATCGCAGTGCTAGCTGTGCCACTAGAGAGATCCTGGTTCGAATGTAGACGGCCGCGACCGGGAGACCCATGGGGCGGTGCACATTTGGTCCAGGGTAGGGGAGGGAATGGCCGGCAGGGATGTAGAGCATGGCGTTTGCAACGCCAGGGTTGTGGGTTCGATTCCCACGGGGGGCCAGTATAAAAAATAATGTATGCACTCACTAACTGTAAGTTGCTCTGGATAAAAGCGTCTGCTAAATGACAAAAAAAAAAAATGTATATATTGTTGTGAGAGATGAGGAGAGGGAGAGAACGACTCAAGGAGAAGGGGAAAAACAATGCCATGGAGAGACAAGGAATAGAGAGAGACTCACAGCAGCCAGCTTGTCGAAGCGGGCGAACAGTTCGTTGAGCAACATGACCAGCTCCTGTGCACTACACGCTAAGGAAAGCTGGGTAAAACCCACAATATCACGAAACAGGATACTGCAAGAGAGAAATGGGGGAGGGGGAGAGGAGAAGGGGAGTCAGAGAAAACAAAATTGCTTAATAGGTTCGCTCAATCTCCATGTTTCAGAGTACAGATTATTGTCATGGAGTACTGGGAGTATTTCTGACCGACTTCGCATTACATTAACATTGTCTGACCTGTCATTCTCGTGGCGGTACATGTACATGGTGTTGAACTGCTGTTGTACTTCGTTCTGGTTAGCCTGTTTCTTCATACCCTCCAGCATCACACAGCGACAGAGACAGTTTGTGTGTGAGTGCGTGCGTGCATGCGTGTGCATTGTGCGTACTGTATGTGTGAAAGAGAGGAGTGGAATTTCTGTGAACATCCTTTTAGGGCCATGTCACCATGGCAATGTGAAGCAGTCAGATGTGTTCTGATTGGCTGGCTGCACCCATCTCTCAGAAGCCTCCATTGCCTCTTTGGCACTCTGGGAATTATCTCTCTCGCTCTCTATAGGGCCCAAACTGTTTGCTCCACAAATAGTAGCAGTCAGGGACAAGCATTAGAAAGGATAGAGGATGGAGGGAACGATAATTGGCTCATCAGCTGCAGTGAATTAGGGTCGACTCAGTTAACTTTACAGTAATGACAGAGGGAGTGTGTGAGGGGTTGAACATGAGAGAATGGAAAGGAGAGAAGGAAGATAGGAAAAAGGCAAGAGATGAAAGAAGGAAGTGATGGAAAGAGAGGAAAGAGACATTAGACTTGGTTCCACAACTCTGTATACTTCAGAATGTATGTGACCAACTTAAAGCACCCAACAGTTGCACCTCCCTAACGAGGCCTCCACTGTGAAGATAACAACAGTCTGTCTAATCAGCCCATTAGCCTAGTATTGATGCAACCAAGAGAGTTTCCGGCACAATGTCAAAACTCACTTGGTTGCATCAAAGCTACATTAGCTCAGAGCCACAGACAACAGACTGTAATTCAAGCAGCACTGAGTGTTCCAGCACACTGCTAACAGCTAGAGGTGACAGCACACCTGTAAAGTCGTAATAAGTCAGTGGGGCATCACTAGGGCATCAGGGCACACACATATACACACACGGATGCAGATGTGCACACAAGCGCACACACACCTACCTGCTGGATACATAGCCGCGGGAAGTAGTTTGGGGGTGGGGGTGCTGCGATTTTTTGCGTCGACGGGGGGGGGTGGGGGGGCGGTGACTGCACACAGGTACAACACCCAGTTAGCCAGGAGCTGGGGGAGAGGGGCAGATGGGGGAGGGATGAACATATCAACATGTTGCTGAAAAGGAAGTCGTGACTGACTGAGGTTGTGAGGGGTGCAGTGGGAGCATTGTGTTGCTAAAAGCCAATTTATGCTTGATCCGAAAATGTGGTCGGAGGCGCTGTATGGATGGTGTGATGCAATTACGAAGCCTCCGGAGGCATGCAGAGGCCAAATTGAGCTCCGTACCGCATCACTGTGCGCCGCCCAAATTATGTAACATCGCGGAGGGCTCCGTATAGCTCCGCATTGACATGATTGGTTGACGGTAGGTGGGGGTGGGAGGTCCTGTATAAACACAAACTCACTTCCTTGACAACTTCCTTCACAACAGCTCTGCTCTGCTCAGTGAAGCACAAGAAGTATAAATGCCCTGACTTCTGCAGAGGCCGTATCGCAGAAAATGCTGTATGGCCACTGCAGAAGTCGGATTTACCATGCAGAGCCTTTAAGTGACAACTCACTGAGCACAGTGAGCAGGTTCAACAACCATCATCCAAAAATACCCTCAGCTCTTTGTCCCACATATCCCTGCACAGCTGGCTTGCCTAACCTGACACACAAAGGCAACTGATTAGCTGAGTTTAGAGTGTTGTGTGATGTTTTAGGTCTTCACACCTGTATCATGCCCTCTCTCACCTGCCAGTGTTTCACTTACACCTGCACCCGCCTCCCATTCTGCCCACCCCTCCCAATCTCTGCACACGTCCACCTCATCCTTACCTGTCTGAGCAGTATTGTTCCCTACAGGCTGTCCTGGTGCCTCTGTGCGATGATGACCCCCAGCACCAGGGTGTGGATCCCAAAGGACAGGGCTGTGAGCAGCAGGAGAGGGACCAGGGTCAGTGAAAGGGACCAGGGTCAGCAAACAAGAGAAGCTGAAGAAGGCCTGCCAGCCCGCCTTGTCACTGGCCTGGTGGAAATGCTGGTAGTTCAGCCCCAGATAGCACAGCATGTGCACGGCTATCATTAGCCAGAGTATGTATGGTACCTTACCGCGTGCAACAGACGCCGCGGGGAGCTTGCACAGCCAGCACAGCGCGTAGAGTACAACATCCGCCGCAAGGATAACTGCCGGTACCACGACCATTGTAAGTTTGTCTGTCGTGTACACCACTGCACACATGACGAGGTCAGCAGTTGAGAAGCGCGGCAAACACCACCAGCACAAAGAGTTTCCTGTTGCTCAGTGGTGTAAAGTACTTAAGTAAAAATACTTTAAAGTACAACTTAAGTAGTTTTTTGGGGGGAATCTGTACTTTACTTTACTATTTACAGTGAGGGAAAAAAGTATTTAATCCCCTGCTGATTTTTTACGTTTGCCCACTGACAAAGACATGATCAGTCTATAATTTTAATGGTAGGTTTATTTGAACAGTGAGTGACAGAATAACAACAACAAAATCCAGAAAAACGCATGTCAAAAATATTATAAATTGATTTGCATTTTAATGAGGGAAATAAGTATTTGACCCCTCTGCAAAACATGACTTCGTACTTGGTGGCAAAACCCTTGTTGGCAATCACAGAGGTCAGACGTTTCTTGTAGTTGGCCACCAGGTTTGCACACATCTCAGGAGGGATTTTGTCCCACTCCTCTTTGCAGATCTTCTCCAAGTCATTAAGGTTTCGAGCCTGACGTTTGGCAACTCGAACCTTCAGCTCCCTCCACAGATTTTCTATGGGATTAAGGTCTGGAGACTCTCTCCAGACGAAATCTTGCGACTTGTGACTGCAGGCCGCCCAACAACCTGCCCGCTTGACCCCATCCCCTCCTCTCTTCTCCAGACCATCTCCGGTGACCTTCTCCCCTACCTCACCTCGCTGATCAACTCATCCTTGACCGCTGGCTATGTCCCTTCCGTCTTCAAGAGAGCGAGAGTTGCACCCCTTCTCAAAAAACCAACACTCGATCCCACTGATGTCAACAACTACAGACCAGTATCCCTTCTTTCTTTTCTTTCCAAAACTATTGAGCGTGCCGTCTTTAGCCAACTCTCTTGCTATCTCTCTCAGAATGACCTTCTTGATCCAAACCAGTCAGGTTTCAGGACTGGTCATTCAACTGAGACTGCTCTTCTCTGTGTCACGGAGGCTCTCCGCACTGCTAAAGCTAACTCTCTCTCCTCTGCTCTTGTCCTTCTAGACCTGTCTGCTGCCTTTGATACTGTGAACCATCAGATCCTCCTCTCCACCCTCTCCGAGCTGGGCATCTCCGGCGCGGCTCACTCCTGGATCGCGTCCTACCTGACCGGTCGCTCCTACCAAGTGGCGTGGCGAGAAGCTGTCTCCGCACCACGTGCTCTCACCACTGGTGTCCCCCAGGGCTCAGTTCTAGGCCCTCTCCTATTCTCCCTATACACCAAGTCACTTGGCTCTGTCATATCCTCACATGGCCTCTCCTATCATTGCTACGCTGACGATTCACAACTAATCTTCTCCTTTCCCCCTTCTGATAACCAGGTGGCGAATCGCATCTCTGCATGTCTGGTAGACATATCAGTATGGATGACGGATCACCACCTCAAGCTGAACCTTGGCAAGACGGAGCTGCTCTTCCTCCCGGGGAAGGACTGCCCGTTCCATGATCTCGCCATCACGGTTGACAACTCCATTGTGTCCTCCTCCCAAAGTGCGAAGAGCCTTGGCGTGACCCTGGACAACACCCTGTCGTTCTCCGCTAACATCAAGGCGGTGACCCGATCCTGCAGGTTCATGCTCTACAACATTCGGAGAGTACGACCCTGCCTTACACAGGAAGCGGCACAGGTCCTAATCCAGGCACTTGTCATCTCCCGTCTGGATTACTGCAACTCGCTGTTGGCTGGGCTCCCTGCCTGTGCCATTAAACCCCTACAACTCATCCAGAATGCCGCAGCCCGTCTGTTGTTCAACATTCCCAAGTTCTCTCACGTCACCCCGCTCCTCCGCACACTCCACTGGCTTCCAGTTGAAGCTCGCATCTGTTACAAGACCATGGTGCTTGCCTATGGAGCTGTGAGGGGATCGGCACCTCTGTACCTTCAGGCTCTGATCAGTCCCTACATCCAAACGAGGGCATTGCGTTCATCCACCTCTGGCCTGCTGGCTCCCCTTCCTCTGCGGAAGCATAGTTCCCGCTCAGCCCAGTCAAAACTGTTCGCTGCTCTGGCACCCCAATGGTGGAACAAGCTCCCTCACGACGCCAGGACAGCGGAGTCACTCACCACCTTCCGGAGACATTTGAAACCCCACCTCTTTAAGGAATACCTGGGATAGGATAAAGTAATCCTTCTACCCCCCCCCCCCCAAAAAAAAATAAATAATAATAATAATAATTGTAAAGTGGTTATCCCACTGCCTATAGGGTGAATGCACCTATTTGTAAGTCGCTCTGGATAAGAGCGTCTGCTAAATGACGTAAATGTAAATGTAATGTAAATGAGACTGGCTAGGCCACTCCAGGACCTTAATGTGCTTCTTCTTGAGCCACTCCTTTGTTGCCTTGGCTGTGTGTTTTAGGTCATTGTCATGCTGGAATACCCATCCACGACCCATTTTCAATGCCCTGGCTGAGGAAACGAGGTTCTCACCCAAGATTTGACGGTACATGGCCCCGTCCATCGTCCCTTTGATGCGGTGAAGTTGTCCTGTGCCCTTAGCAGAAAAACACACCCAAAGCATAATGTTTCCACCTCCATGTTTGACGGTGGGGATGGTGTTCTTGGGGTCATAGGCAGCATTCCTCCTCCTCCAAACATGGCGAGTTGAGTTGATGCTAAAGAGCTCGATTTTGGTCTCATCTGACCACAACACTTTCACCCAGTTCTCCTCTGAATCATTCAGATGTTCATTGGCAAACTTCAGACGGGCCTGTATATGTGCTTTCTTGAGCAGGGGGACCTTGCGGGCGCTGCAGGATTTCAGTCCTTCACGGCGTAGTGTGTTACCAATTGTTTTCTTGGTGACTATGGTCCCAACTGCCTTGAGATCATTGACAAGATCCTCCCATGTAGTTCTGGGCTGATTCCTCACCGTTCTCATGATCATTGCAAATCCACAAGGTGAGATCTTGCATGGAGCCCCAGGCCGAGGGAGATTGACAGTTATTTTGTGTTTCTTCCATTTGCGAATAATCGCACCAACTGTTGTCACCTTCTTACCAAGCTGCTTGGCGATGGTCTTGTAGCCCATTTGAGCCTTGTGTAGGTCTACAATCTTGTCCCTGAAATCCTTGGAGAGCTCTTTGGTCTTGGCCATGGTGGAGAGTTTGGAATCTGATTGATTGATTGCTTCTGTGGACAGGTGTCTTTTATACAGCACTCCCTTTAAGTGTGTGCTCCTAATCTCAGTTTGTTACCTGTATAAAAAGACACCTGGGAGCCTGAAATCTTTCTGATTGAGAGGGGGTCAAATACTTATTTCCCTCATTAAAATGCAAATCAATTTATAAGATTTTTGACATGCGTTTTTCTGGATTTTTTGTTGTTGTTATTCTGTCTCTCACTGTTCAAATAAACCTACCATTAAAATTATAGACTGATCATTTCTTTGTCAGTGGGCAAACCTACAAAATCAGCAGGGGATCAAATACTTTTTTCCCTCACTGTATATCTTTGACTACTTTTACTTTTACTTCACTACATTCCTTAAGTAAATATTTGACTTTTTACTCCATACATTTTCCTTGACACCCAAAAGTACTCATTACATTTTGAATGCTTAGCAGGACAGGAAAATGGGCCAATTCACACACTTATCAACAGAACATCCCTGGTCATCCCTACTGCCTCTGATCTGGCGGACTAACTAAACACACATGCTTCATTTGTAAATTAGGTCTGAATATTGGAGTGTGCCCGTCTATCTGTAAAATTAAAAAACAAGAAAATTGTGATGACTGTTTTGCTTAATATAAGGAATTTTAAATGATTTATACTTTTGCTTTTGATACTTAAGTATATTTTAAATGAAATACTTTAATACTTTTACTCAAGTAGAATTTTACTGTGTGACTTTTACTTTTACTTGAGTCATTTTCTATTAAGGTATCTTTACTTTTACTCAAGTATGACAATTTGGTACTTACAATTTACACCACTGCTGTTGCTGCCGCCGGAAGTAGACCTGGCAGAGCCGCTCGAGGGACTCAGCGCAAAGGTGAGACGCATGACGCTTGGCAGGCACACACAGCAGCCGGGCGTATGACCTGCCCCATGCCCGTTGCTGAACATTCTCCTGAATCGTCTATGTCTTGGGGAAGGAATGGAGGATGGAGCAAGGAGGTAGGGAATGGAGAGAATAAGGAAGAAGGGAGGGGGTGGTAGTTCTCATACATCCCTAACTAAACCCAAACCCAGCCCTGCATCCTCCTAATGACCATCCTCACAATCATAGACAAATGATACACACCTTGATTTATCCTTCAAGTTTATTGGTATTTGTTAGGCCATTAACCGGGCCATGGTCAGCAAATAATGTCAATGCACTCTGTAAAGTCTCAGTAAAGTACAAATACGTGCACACACACACACAAACACACACACACACCCTGAGAATTAGCTGAGATAACACAGTCTGCTGCTGTAAGCCACTGTCTCAGGCTCCCATTCCACATGTCGTTTTTCCCAGTGCCACTACCACGGCCACCAGTACTCCCACTGTCCCCAGTCTCCCCAGTGCAGCTGTTCCTAGCGCTGCTGTTCCCAGTGCCCCCGCTCCGAGAGGTGCAGCTGCCGCGGTTACCGCTTCCATGCCGATTCCTCCTATCAGGCTGGCCCCTGTGAGGACCTCATCCCTCAGTTTAATCTGAGTGTGGAACGGACTCTTTGGTGCACCCAGTATAAAGGCCCACACTGCAACAAAGGTCACTGTTATTAGTTCCGCTGGTCCCAGAGTGACAGTTCCCAGTGCTAGACCCCAGAAGCCTAGCACCGCACCTACTGCTACAGAGCCTAGAACTACTAATGTAGTCTCTCTGGTTCTAAATTCTGGTCCCGCAGCGACACTCGCGGCCCCCAGTGACACCCCTGCAGCCGTGGCTCCCCCTAACAGAGCCCCTATGCTGCCCCCCAACCCCAGCAAAGAGCATACTGGGAGAATGAGTCTCAGGGCACATGAGGATGTCACTGCCGCCCCCACCGCCACCCTCGCTGCCCCCTCTGGTCCCAAACTCACCACAGCCACTGTTCCCAGAGCAGCTCCTAGCAGTCCTGCAGCCAGCGTCCCCACCCACAGCACTGACCCCAGCATCACAGTCACCTCTGACCCTGATCCATCTGTACCCCCCGCACCCACACCCATTGGGAAACCCACTATTGCCACGACAACTGAGTACAGCAGTAACCTCTCTGACCATTTGCTGTTTCCTTCGGCTCTCTGCTGTGTTCTTCTGTCTGATACGGTCTTCAGTAGGGCACAGAGGGACGAGGCAGCAATGCCCATAGTAAATAGTCCTGTGATGACGCCCATGCGGCCCAACACCACACTGAGGTAGAGAGTGGAGAAGATAACGGAGAGGACTGCGGTCATCTCATTCACGTAAGTGTAAGGGTACACTAGCAGGACCATGATGCACTGGACCAGGAAGTGGCCCCACACGGGGAGGGCGCCCAATAGTGTTCCAGTTGCCACGGCTCCCACCGTGATGGTGACCCCTCCAGCAATCTCCGCCCCCTTCGCTCTAGCTACACCTCCTCCTTCCCTCCCCATCTGTCGCATCACCATGGAGCCGAGGAGAAGTCCGGTTCCCATGGACACCAACGCCGTAGTGAACACCAGGCACGTGGCTACCGCTCCCACCCCCGCCACGCCCACCTCTCCTGCTGCTCGGACGGCGGTGATCATAAGTGGTCCAGTTGTGGTCAGGTAGGGTTCGGCTGCAGCCAGAGCTGTCTCTCCGAGGGCGAACCCAGCCGCTACGCTCCTCAGGACCACCTCCACCGTTCTAACCACACCTAGAAGGAGAGACAGAACATGATTCTCTACTTTACCACTGTGAGTATGAACAGTTCTGGGAGATCTATACCCACTGTGAATAGACCTAGAGTCTACACAGAGACCACTCATATTGTCCACCAGGTGTCAGTGAAGGACAAGAGTAGAACAACCAACACTAGAACGCCCCGAGGGACTGTCACTGAGCTGAAAAATATATAATGTGAATAGATAGTGTATCACTATGGAATACAGTCACGTGTGGGAAATCTGTTAAACAGGCCAGACAACAAAACTGTCAGTAATACACTCTTCCTTCCTTGTCAAGACTAGACACTGTCACATTATATGGAAACTGAAACCACGATGCACCCTTGCGCCCTGTCACTACACGCTGAAATTCAAACCTGAAAGAGTTACTGAATTAACCGAAAAGTCAACAAACAAAACAGACCATTTCTGTCCAGAGTGTATGACGCACAAAGTAGTGGCTGCAATATTCAAAGGTGTTTCTGATCAGGGTTTATTGCACTTATCTCAACTCCCAGTCATGCCTGCAAGCTCCCTAGGTTGTTTACCTTAAAAAATCTGGTTCTTACTAAACCTATTGGATAGAATATGTGCTAACAGTTACACAGAGACAGAGTAAAATACAAATCAAAGTTACTTTGAGTGTTAAACTACTACAGAAGAGTATCTTACCATGGTCTGTTCTTGCCATAACGTTAAGTGGATCCATTGACTTCCTGTCTTTAGCTCCACCTCTAGGATTCTCATGATGTCACATGCGCTGCAGTTTTTCCAGTACCTAACACATAAAAAATATCTAAATATATATATATATATCGTTTTTATTAGTGACCTTATTACTGTCATTCTTGTTATTAATGTATGACTAGTTGACACATTTGTTTTACTACTACTCATTCTTAGACCCCCTTAACATCATAGAACTTGCAGTGCAAGTACGCCTAGCATATGTTTTTCAAAATTAATTTCTCAAGATTTTGTGTAGAGCAGTGAGTATGTCACGTGTCACATCTGCACTTCAAGGAAATGAGGGAAGGATGCACGTGTTTGAATAATATTCTAACACGGTTTAGGTTCTTTCACAACCGTCATTGCTTCCTTTCCTTCTCACCCTGTCCCCGCCCCTCTTTTGTCAGGTGACAACAACTCGCTGGATCATGTGATAACCGCTTCCTCAAATGTTTGATCAAATGTGGTTTATATTATTTTCAAAGGCGAGCACAGGCGAGACACCAACCGGACACTCGTTTACAAGCTTAATTTTATTATTTTATGATATATTAACAAGCAAAAACCAGTGAGTATTGAATTCATTCTTGCATATTTTGATACAGGATTGGTGCTAATTGAAAGTCGACTCTTATTAAATATATCTGCATCTAAAGTTGCATAGTATCTGTATCAGGCTACTAGACTCCCTTTGAAGAACCAGTCAATTGTTACAATGTATCACTCTTGCCGGACTGTTAAGTGATGCGTAGCTACAGTAGCAATCCATGTCGCTGTTTCCTATCCAATGACTATATACTGTACGTTACTTCAACTATATATCAATACTTAAAACCAGCTCATATTTTCTCATGTAGGCTAATGCTCAGATTATCATGGTATTACTACTATCTATATGTATTTTCTGCCTAACTCTGGGCGATATAGTGTCATTAAGTTTTCAGTGTTGTATCTTTTGCATCCAGGTTCATCCTGATTCAATATTTTGCTTGTGCTTCAATGTATGCATTGTGCATTTGCACAAACGTACCATTCCTTGGGTCCAGTTATGGTCAGGTGACTTGTACAGCTCAGAGGTATTATTAATGTGTCGTGTTTGTCTTATAATGTCTCCTCCCTCGGCAGTTGGCACACCCAGTCAGTCATGTGAGTCTCAGGTGTGTCAATACACACAGCGCATTGGCTCTATTCAGTTATGCAGAATGTCCACAATACTGCAGAAAGAATAATGTATAGGACTAACTGGACTATCACGTAGACTAATGTCACCTCCCTATGTGCTGCACTCTGGCAGATAAGTATGCACATTCCATAGCACCAGGGTCATGTTCAATATGCCTATACAGAAGCAGATGTTTTCAAATGAAAGCCATTCATGTGCATTCCTTGTGTTTGGGCAAATCTGGATTGTACATCCAAGTTTTAGTGACTTTGTCCTGTAACAAACGTCTTTCTCTTTCAGGAATGCGATTTGCAGTAGCATTGTGTGTGCTGGCGCTCTTTGTGGCCACCCTTGCCCTGGACAATGGTCTGATGAGGACCCCTCCTATGGGCTGGTTGGCATGGGAACGCTTCCGCTGTGACATTGACTGTCAGAACGACCCCAAGAACTGCATCAGGTAAGACAAAAATATGATTCTGAACTCTTCCCATTCTTGGGAATGCCTTTATCATAACAAGGAAAGGAGACAAGCTGAGGAAGAGATTTCTGAGCCAACATTGACACTTTGTTATAATTTACATTTACGTCATTTAGCAGACGCTCTTATCCAGAGCGACTTACAGTTAGTGAGTGCATACATTTTTATACTGGGCCCCCGTGGGAAACGAACCCACAACCCTGGTGTTGCAAGCGCCATGCTCTACCAACTGAGCTACAGGGGACTATAATATAGGCCATAGTAACTCCTGCCGTTTTCCTGTCTTCCTCTGTGTCGTCCCCCCACAGTGAGGTTCTGTTCCAGGACATGGCAGACAGGCTGGCTGAGGACGGCTGGAGGGAGCTGGGATATGTCTACGTCAACATAGATGATTGCTGGGCCTCCAAGGACAGAGACAGTAATGGACGCCTGCAGGCTGACCCTAAGAGGTAGGCTACTGGACGGAGAAGCACACACACACACGTTTTGTTGTACATTTTATAGTTCACTCACAAGCACTGTTAATGTTTACAACTTTATTTCACTTGCATCTCATGTATCTTATCTATGTATTGCCTACTGTCAGGTGGGATTTATCTATATTGAGGTTGTTGACATATATTGGACCAATATATTGAGGTCACTGACTTGTCAGTCATATGATACTCATATAGCACATTCTCCATTCTCTCAGGTTGGGGTTTATTGGCATTATTGTGCCAAGTTGTTTATTTATTGGTGTGGGGTGTTAATCTGTGTGTCTATGAATAGGTGTAACATGTCTGCCTAACCTGTGTATCTTTAACCTCCTCTCTCAGGTTCCCAAGTGGCATCCCCAAGCTGGCGACCTACCTTCATGACCGGGGACTGAAGCTGGGTATCTACGGGGACATGGGCACACTCACATGTGGGGGCTACCCCGGGACCCCCCTGGACAAGATCACTATAGACGCTCAGACTTTTGCTGACTGGGAAGTGGACATGCTGAAGTTTGACGGCTGCTACTCCAACGCTACGGAGCAGGAGCAGGGTGAGGTGGGGGTGAGAAAGGGAGGAGAGTTGGATGAATGAGTAAGGGGAGAGTTGGGGATGGACATGCTGAAGTTTGAAACAGGAGATAAATGGTTTACTCAACCCTCAGCTGCTTGCTTGACAAAGATGCTGTTCTTTCTTATAGGCTACCCTGCCATGTCAAAGGCTCTGAACGCTACCGGACGCCCCATTGGCTACTCTTGCAGTTGGCCAGCCTACCAGGGTGGACTCCCACCCAAGGTTAATCAAATAATTAAATATTTTTGTAATAAGGATTGGTTAATATTTGCTGTAAATCAATCCAGTTATATACAGATCATATATGTAAAAAATGTTCTAAGTTGACCTCTTCTACATTTATTTCTCAGGTAAACTACACACAGCTGGGAGAGATCTGTAACCTGTGGCGTAACTATGGTGACATAGAGGACTCGTGGAATAGTGTGCTGAGCATTGCTGATTGGTTCTTCAACAACCAAGACGTTCTACAGCCCGCAGCTGGACCTGGCCGGTGGAATGACCCTGACATGGTCTGTCTTTGTCAAACTGTCCATTTGACTGTAGACGAAATGTTGCTATTCAATGAATTAACCAATTTGTCTTGCATATTCAGTGAGGAGATGACCCAGTATGTTTTAACTTCTGGCTGAACTGACTGTGTGTGTATTCTAGCTGGTGGTCGGGGACTTTGGGCTCAGCATGGATCAGTCTCGGTCTCAGATGGCTCTGTGGGCCATCATGGCTGCTCCTCTCTTCATGTCCAACGACCTGAGGACCATTAGCAGCGGGGCACGCACCATCCTGCAGAACAAGGTGGCCATCGGCATCAACCAGGACCCCATGGGCGTCCAGGGTAGACGCCTGATCAAGGTAAGACCCACATATATTCTATAGTCTTATCAGGGTGAAATACTCCTGAGTTGTGTTGTTGAGCTGTATGTAAATATCCTCAATGTTATTATTCTCTCCTCTTCTCTCTTCCAATTTCTCTCTGTACCTTGCTTCCCGTCTGATTCTCAGGAGAAGAGTGGTATTGAGGTTTTCTGGCGCCCTCTGTCTGATAAGGCCAGTGCTCTAGTGTTCTTCAGTCGTCGTACTGACATGCCTTACCGCTACCAGACCTCCCTGGGCAAACTCAACTACACCACTGGCAGCTACAAGGTCAGTCTAGTCCCGGTTTCTCTAAGTCATATTGCTGGCGTTGCCTCACACATGCGATTTCATATCTCCTTTTTCCTTAATGTCCCTTACTCTCCTTCCTTCCTCATCCCTTTCTCCAGAGCTATGATGTGTTTGCGGAGCGCGAAATGCCCACACTGAAGGACTCCACAGAATTTGTTGTGTCCATCAACCCCTCGGGCGTTGTCATGTGGTACATCTCGGCCCCTGGTGGCCAGGAGCAGGAGAACGCCCACGTCAGGGGAAAGCTCAGGGGACACGCCTTCCATCGCCATGCCAAGGGTATCTCTCCCATCTTAATGTAACCGTCCCCCATTGCCTTTGATGTCTCCTCAAGATGATACTGGCTCTGTCTCTCAACTCTACTTTTTCACTAATCCAACATTATAATGTATGCCATTTAGCAGACACTTTAATCCAAAGCGATTTAGTCATGCGTGCATACATTTTACGTATGGGTAGTCCCGGGAACATTCACATCAATGAATACCTCAAGGAAGGGAGCAAATTAGTTATTTCCAGAATGGACAGAGCAAATGCTATTTTAATGGTGTCCCACAAAGATGACAGCACTCAATACTCAGGAATGTTCTAATTATGCAAGTTTGCAGTCGACAGTGTCCATGATGCTGGTCACTGCCACTGCACTTTCTTATGATGTTAAGTTTTAATTTAAAGGTGCTCTTATTTTCGTTGCACTAGGTTTTTAATGTTCTGGATTTAAGGGCTCTGATGGGAAATGTATTCAAGGAATATCAGGAAATTATTAGATATTAAATTATTGATGCAGTGAATGATTTTTGTATTTTCTTAAGCCTTCAAAAACCAATAAACACTTTTTTTCCAGTGTGCATTTTGTATTTTTTTTACTTTGTTCCTTTGGTCTACTCACTGAAGCAGTCCTGACTTTCTTTAGATTTAAAAAAATGTGTTCTTCTTTACTTGTATGTGTTGTACTGTTATTCAACTTTTAGTTGCCAAGTACAGAGAGAGATTGGAATGGAAAGAGCTGCCAAGTACGGCCTACATGTAGTAATAATCAAGGTCTACACAAAATTGAAAGGTACGAAGGCAATAGATTGACTGAGCAGTTTTAGTTTGTAGAGGACACAGAAATACAAGTTCACATTAAAGTTTAGTGTACACTACTACTACTAGTCAGAACCCTCCATCTAGCTCTGACAACAGTGGATGATGTCACAGACCAACTGCCCACAGAACTAGAATGAGATTCTATTTCTATGCAACCGCCATTGTGATGTGTGACTGATGTCTGAGCGATAGAACTCTGCTGCAACAGAATTGTTAATCATTTTGGACTTGCAAGCTCAATAGATTTAATTCAACCAGGAGCCTGTTTCCCAAATATGCTTTTGGGAAACTGGGCCCAGTTCATTTTGAAACACATTTACTATGGCAGAATTTCTGAATTACTTGAAAAAGCTTCCTGTTCAGAAACCTGTTTAGAACCCTTTTCAGAAGAATGTCTATATCGTCCAACAGCCATTGGCCACCACCGTCCCCCAGAACCTGGGTGCCTGCAGCTCCTTGGCTCCCAACCAACAGCTCCCACCCAGGGAACACCACTCCAACAGCTAAATGCCTTCACCCGGCGATTCATGAAA